GCTCTGCCCCGATTCAGCGCACGCTCAGAGAAATTGGGTGGACTCCACCTCCGGCAGGTTGGACAAAGATCAATGTGGATGGCGCAGCTAATGGGACGCAGGGTCCGGCAAGTGCAGGAGGCATTTTGAGGGATCACCTTGGCTCTTGGATTACAGGTTTTGTTGTCAATCTTGGGACGTGTTCAGCGGTTCAGGCAGAGCTCTGGGGCATCTATCATGGGTTGGGTGTAGCTTGGCAGGCTGGCAGCAGAACCATCATCGTGGAATCCGACTCTCAGATGGCCCTCCAGCTTATAGAGAAGAGAAATGATCGGATTCACCCTCAAGCGACTCTTCTGACGGCTATCAGACGGAGAATAGCTCAGGATTGGGTGGTAAAGCTAGTTCACACTTACCGAGAAGGGAATAGAGCCGCAGACTGGCTCTCGAAGCACAGTCTCGTCTATCCCTATGGTAAGTGCGTTTTGGATTTACCTCCCCAAGGGCTCCGTACTATCATTAGAGACGACTTTAGAGGACAAACTTTTCCCAGGAACATTTTAAGTTCCGTTGCCTCCACCCCCTCTCTGTAACCCTCTCTCCCCCCGTCTCCCTTCTCCCTCTGCGGCAGTTTTTGCCTCCCGTGTAAGCAAAAAAAAAAAAAATAATATATATGTTATAATGGCTCTAGCGAATTTGGGCTTTCAAATTGGGCTTCCTCATTTTGGCTGGACAACTGGCACAATGAACACACACAAAGTCACTCTTGGCCCAGATGGAATCCACCAGCTGACCATGATTACTTGTATTTGTGTTTTTGTGTAAATGCAAATATTAGCATTTGTGGGGATTAGTTGGCAACTGATTTCGTGGTCTATGCCAGATTGTTGTGATGTTCATTTATCACTAACTTTCGTAATTTTTGTAGGCAGGATCTTATTTTCGAGTATAAGTAAAACAAAGTACAAAAACTAACAAAGATGAATTTATTATCAATCAAGTATATGAGTTGATAAACAAAAATTTTTTTTTTTTTTACTTTGATCAAGAGTTTGACAGTAAATAATATATGTGTCGGTTGGTCTGATATAGAGAGGGTGCCAACGACTTGCAGATCTTATGCATCAAACTAGCCATACTGAATCAAATCGATGAAAATAAATTATCAAATAATTTTAGTGTGGTGATAACTGGTAAAAGTACAATCCTAATTATAGTTCTACATGTAGAAATGAGTTGTATCACCACTTTAGAATTTATCATATTTTTAATTGTAAATTATCAAATAAGTTTAATTGGTGGTAATTGGCAAATACAATCCTAATCATAGTTCTACAAATATGAACTAGCTATATCACCGCTTTAGGATCATATTTTCATAACGATAAATATTGTCATATCCTCAATGATAAGGGTCGTTTGGAACCTTTGATTCCGGAAATGATGTATTACGAGAACGTGTGTATTAAAGATTGTGTGTATGCTAAGAATGTGTGGTTTTGAAAATTCATTGTTTGGAAACCATAAAAAGAATGCATGATTATAGTTTAAATGAACTATGGATACTAAATGTCACCAAAAAGATAAGATTCATTGTACATCATTTTCTATGTATTAGGAATACAACATATATCCTGGATACATGCATTCTGTTAGTACATCAAGTCAAAAAACGTTGTATTCTACATGATACATGTATACAGAAAATACAACGTTTAGAATCAAAGGTTCTATAGGTCATGAATTGTGATCCAAACATTTTAGAGGTCGTTTGCTTGTAGGATTTTGATGAGAGATTTTGCCCCAAAATCCCATATGGGTTGGATTATTGTCCAAATCCATGTTTGTTGATAAAAATGAGATTGACATAAATCCGTGGGGCCCACAAATATGACATTTTTGTTTGCTCAAAAGCCGTGGACCCCACGGATTATAAAATCCCACCTCATTATGTAAGATTTTGAGAGGTGCCAAAATTCGTGGACCCCACTAATTATGAAAGGACCAAAGTATCCTTATAAAAAAAACAAATATACTTTATTAAAGATAAGAAGTTAAACTCATCATTTAACCCATAAATTCAATATAGTAAAATCCATTTTGAAAACCAACAAGCAAACATGCAATTTCTAAAATCCAATACAAATCCAAAATAGCAAAATCCAACATAATCCTTCAATTTCAAAATCCAATATTTTATCCTAATCATTCATTTTTCAAAATCTCACAAGCAAACGAACCATAATCCTTCAATTTCAAAATCCAAGGTTTTACCCTAATCCTTCATTTTTCAAAATCACACAAGTAAACGAACCCTTACTCAATGAGTTCACGATTAAGAGATGACAAAAATATCCGTAAACGTGGATATCCGCCCGAATCTGACCTATTTGGGTAGGGTAAAACCCGAACCTGAAACACTTTTAGTGGGTATGGGTAAAACCCGAACCCGAATATTGTGGGTAATGGATGGGCATGTTTTTCTCACTATCCAACCCGAACCCGCCCGATTATACACATGTATATGTATTTTGTCTAGAATTAATCATTATTTTTCTCTAACATATTTTGTATTTAGCATAAAATATACTATTTTTATGAAATTGTGTTGTTTTAATCAATTTTCTTCATTCTAAAGAATTATTGTCGTACTTTTCTTCCAATGTAATGCGAGAATATGTGTGAATGTTAATATATTGGTTGGACTTTTAACGAAAAATTATTATCCACGGATAACCGTGGATACCCGAAAACCGAACGGATATGAACATGGTTTTTATTTTCTACCCATTTCTTATGTAGGTATGGGTAAAACCCGAACTACTTTGCGGAGGGTAACGGCTATGCACTATCCACTATCGGCCTGACTCGTTCACATCTACACGATTTTCATAAAGATATAAATATAAACATATTTGCTATATAAAAATTGATTAATCAAACTTGATTATCTCGAACTTTTCATCCTAGATAAAAGATTTCCAGAAATAGCAAACTACAATTGACTCATAAGATGTCATTCCAAACTTCTTGTGTGCAGATTCAAAGGGAGTCTCAACCAACCATCATAATTCATAATCATGATGAAGAAATGGAAGAGGTAAAGTTAAAAAAAGGCAACATGATGGTCTTCTTATCCAAAATTCCAGGCAATTTCCCTTCATAACTATCATATATGCCTCGAAAAGGAAACGAGGTTTCCTAAACACCACCGGGATTGGAATTTGGAAGATGATTTGCTAATGCTGAAAATTCTTTATATCACTAGTTTCCTCCCACTTTCTCACCCTTTTCCTTTTTATTTCTCAACAAAAGTTTCCCATCCTCCAATCAAAACTCTCTCCTTTCCCCTCCTCTCTCAATCATGACATGAATCACAAATGTAATTCACAAGAAAATATCCCAAACCATCCATCTCAAAGGTAGAGAGAGAAAAAAAAAAAATTGAAAATGTGAATTTATAAAAAAAGGCATTTGCCTTTTTCAGTCACTGTATTGTATTACGTCAGTTCGATCAAATATGTTCTCGTGTCGTGAATTTCGACTAACATGTTGTATTATGCGCTAATGAAATTATATAAGTTATATCATTTGTGTACTATTTTAATTGGGTAAATGCCACATTTGGTCACAAAGATTACTACATCGTGTCATGTTTAGTCACCAAAAAAATTTAATATCAATTTTGGTCACTCGAATTACTGGAACATGTCACATTTAGTCACTCTCTCGTTAGCCTCCGTCCAACTCCTGTCACTCGAATTACTTAAACATGTCACATTTAGTCACTCGAACTACTGAAACATGTCATATTTAGTCACTCTCTTGTTAGTTTCCGTCCAACTCCATTAATGGAGGTGGACGGAAACTAACGAGAGAGTGACTAAATGTGACTTGTTTTGGTAATTTGAGTGACCAACATTGATATTAAATTTTTCTAGTGACTAAAAATGACACGATTTAGTAATCTCAGTGACCAAATGTGGCATTTACCCCTATTCCCCTATTTTAATTGATAGAAAACACTATCACAGACAATGCTTTCCTATGCCATATTATTTTTGGACGAAGATTGTCCGATACTATAATGCTTATCTAGGCCATACGTTAAAATTTTCGTCAAAGTCCATCACCATTAGTGTCAACTATACTTAGCAAGCACACATTTTATGTCTTTGATGACTTGCTCATTGTGAAAATCAGAATAAATACGTGATTTGAAAGTCGAAACGAGCATTAATCTTCTACATATAGTACATATGCGAGTCAAATCAAAACTTTGCCAAAATACATTTTGATGACTCAGCTGACATCTATTTATCATGATAAAAGAAAATAGATGTGTGATTCGAAAAATTGAATTGTAAACGAATTTTTCTACATACACTAGTAGCATTAGTCGATTCTAAAACTCTAAAACTAGGTCGGTATATATATTATAAACATCAATACATCATTGGATCCATAAAATAAAAATCAATACATCATTGCCTCATTGGTTACTTGGGGGATTTGTTTATAGAAATTGTTTACATTGGGGACCGAAAGTAGCATTGAACAAAAAAAGAAGTAAAAAACATAAAGAAAAGTTGCGGAGCCACCCAAAATTCCCGCAAAAACAAACAAATATATACAAAACTAAATTATAATTTCTGCTTTTATTTTTAATTTCCCCCCTCCCTTTCTCTGTTTCTTCTTCCCAATCTCATTCTTCTTCTCCTCCTGCTTAGCTCTTCCGAATTTTCACCAGTCAGTATTTCGCTGCTGTTGCTGAACAGAAATTTCCCCTTTCTTCCTTCCTTTCCCTTCCTCCTTTAACCGCCGCAGAATCATTTTTTTCTGAATCCAAGCCTGAAGAACTCCCCATCTTCCATTGATTGATTTGATTAAGTAAAGCAAACCCTTTTCCTCCTCTGGGGTTTGATTCCCCATCAAAGAATCTAACTGATTTAGGCAAGAAAGGAGTTTTCTTTCTTTCTTTCTTTCTTTCTTTCTTTCCTAAGCTTGAATCTAATCCGTCCATGGCGTCGCCGGAGGAGACTGGCGGCGGGAGCGGGAGTTGGAGCAGCAACAACAACAACATCGATTTGGAAGAAGCCCAGAAGATAATTCTCCGATGGGACTCCTCGGCTTCGGAAGAAGCTCGCGAAAAGATGATCTTCGACGGCGACCGTCACGAGGCGGATCGCTACTTGCTGGCGGTCGATGAAATCCAGCGCTCCATGTCCTCCGCTTCCATCTCCGCCACCGCCGCAGCCGCCGACGGCGGCAATGGAGAAGACAGCAGCAAAGACCAGGCTCAAGATAAAGTCAACTCTGCCATCCAGATCGCCATGGCTCGACTCGAGGACGAGTTCCGCAACATCCTCCTCAGCCACACCGCCCCAATCGAAGAGGACGCCCTCACCGATAACCCCGCCGCCGCCGCCGCCGAGTCCTCCTCCTCCACCTCCGCCGCAGAATCCTCCACCGCGGCTGCCGAATCGGGGGAAGAAGATCGCCTATCCAGCAGCGGAGGCAGCGGTTCGCAAGTCCTCGAGGAGACCAATCTCAACCTCTCAGATCCAATCCCCCGCACCGGCTCCTCCGTCAGCAACAGCTCCGGCAGCTACCGATCGACGAGCAGCATCAAGGAGCTCGATCTGATTCCAGAGCTAGCGGTTTACGACCTTCGTTCCATCGCCGAACGGATGATCTCCGCCGGATACCTCCGCGAGTGTATCCAGGTCTACGGCAGCGTCCGCAAATCCGCCGTCGATTCCAGCTTCCGCCGCCTAGGGATCGAGAAGCTCAGCATCGGGGACATCCAGCGCCTCGAGTGGGACGCCCTCGAGAGCAAGATCAGGCGGTGGATTCGCGCCGCCAAGGTCTGTGTCAGAATCCTATTCGCCAGTGAGAAGAAGCTCTGCGAGCAGATTTTCGACGGAATCGAGACGGCCGCCGTCGACGAAGCGTGCTTCGTCGAAACCGTAAAAGGCCCTGCAGTCCAGCTCTTCAATTTCGCCGAAGCAGTCAGCATCAGCCGCCGCTCGCCGGAGAAAATGTTCAAAATCCTCGACCTTCACGATGCTCTAGTCGACCTAATGCCAGACATCGAATCGGTTTTCGACGCAAAATCGGCCGATTCTATTCGAGTTCAAGCGGCCGAGATCCTCTCCCGACTCGCCGAGGCAGCTAGAGGGATACTCTCCGAGTTCGAGAACGCAGTCCTCAGAGAGCCTTCCAAAATTCCGGTCCCCGGAGGGACAATTCATCCATTGACGAGGTACGTGATGAACTACATTAGCTTGATCTCCGATTACAAGCAGACATTGATCGAGCTCATAATGTCGAAACCCTCCACGGGTTCGAGATACTCCGGGGATCCCACGACCCCTGACATGGAATTCGCCGAGCTAGAATCAAAACCACCACTTGCGCTGCACTTGATATGGATCATTGTCATTCTCCAATTCAACCTTGATGGGAAATCCAAGCTTTACAAAGATGTATCATTAGCGCATCTCTTCATGATGAACAATGTGCACTACATTGTTCAGAAGGTGAAAGGGTCGATGGAGTTGAGAGAAATGATTGGAGATGATTACCTCAGGAAGCTAACGGGGAAGTTTAGGCAGTCAGCGACGAATTACCAGAGGGCGACTTGGGTTGGGGTCTTGTACTGCTTGAGAGATGAAGGTTTGCATGTGAGTGGGAGCTTTTCGTCTGGTGTTTCAAAGAGTGCATTGAGGGAGAGGTTCAAGAGCTTCAATGGCATGTTTGAGGAGGTTCATAGGACTCAGGCGACTTGGTTGATACCCGATACTCAGCTTCGAGAGGAGCTGAGGATTTCGATATCTGAACATTTGATTCCAGCTTATCGATCGTTTTTGGGGAGGTTCAGGAGTCACATTGAGAGTGGGAGGCATCCAGAGAACTATATCAAGTACTCGGTCGAGGATTTGGAAAGTGCGGTGCTGGATTTCTTCGAGGGCTGCCCTGTTTCGCAGCACTCAAGGAAGAGGTCTCAGTGAAGAAAGACAGAAGAGTTTTTGGACCAGAACTAGAGAAGAAACAAAGCTTTAGGACACCATTCTTTGAATTTTTTTCTATGGGGGAGTGTTCAGGGTTGAGAGGATCGGTTTGCTGCTGCTGCAATGTGCTATGATGGGAAAGAGGATCGAATGTCTGATGTTCGACGGTGGAACGATGTGAGGAAGAAGGGGATTGATTCGAGCTCGGTTCTCTCAACCTGAATGCTTCTGCACTGTAAGCAAAATGCATTGTTTGTTTTTTGAACTTTTGTCATATGATCACAAGTCTAGATTTGTTCACTTCGGTTGTCATTTGTTCATATGGGGGGAATTGTTGTAAACGTGTGATTTGCTGCTACTACTACTAGCTATTCCATCTTTCATGATATGATGAAGAAACCCAGTTTCCATTCTTCTGCAGATGAATTCTTACTACTGGTTTGGATGATGTTGAAATGAATATGCCTGCATTTTTAGTAGGGGAAAAGATATAGATATGGGTTTTTTTGGTATCCTTTGTCAACTTGTAGAAGTTGGTAAGACCATTGCTGAAATTTGCCAAGCGTGCGTCATGGAATCATTTGAAGATGATAAATGGGGTCACCATTCCAGGAAAAGAAAGAAACTTTTTCCAAATTGAACTTCTAAACTTTTGATTTTAGATGGAGTGTGAGCTCACCACTTTGACTTGTTCTATGGGGTATGGGTTGTCCATCTCACCTTGTAGTTTTTACTTACATGTGTGGTCTTGTGGAGCCTGTGATTCATGGACTCAGGTGCCTTGATTGAAATATCTTGAACGATAACGATTCGTATCGAGGGTGAAGTTCAAAGTCCTAGAGTCTTTGATTGAGAGATCTCGATTTGGAACTCGCTGTAGGTACTAAGGGGTGGGCAACGGTTTGATTGGAAGTGACGAGGAGCTAAATGGGAGCTCGCTCTAAGATGTGTATGGTGTATTCGATATGACCTAGTCTTGTTTTAGTCTCTTTCATGTCTTCGTTTCCCCCCTTCTTTTTGGTGGGGACTCAAAGGGTATGGTAAGAATCGATTTGATTTGGTGTCGATATGACGGTAAAGCATCGCGTGACCGAGAATCTAAGTGCTTGTTTTGCTTGAAATGAAAGGTTGGGAACTGAGGATAATCTGATATGATGTTCTGGTCACAGCTAGCAAGGAGTGTTTTAGGAGAGCCATTAATTTGCTAATCATGGTGCTGCTGCTCATTCTGTTGCCTTGTGACTCTCACATCAAATCTCATAACATTATTAAATTGTGATTTGGCCAAGCCAACTCAGGCTTAGGCTGGCACAAAATTTGTTGATTGATTAATTGGGTTATATTATTAATCATGGCTTGGGTTGGAATTTGGAATGTCAGCTTCCTCTATGCTTGAGCTTGGATGGGCATTTAAGTTCAATCAATTGCCCTAATTATTATTGATTAATGTTGGTTCGTCATCAATTTGCCGCCATTTTAACAGGGAATGGTTTTAGTTTTTTTTTTTTTACTTTTTAGAGGAGAGGTTTAGGACGTCCAAATTGTTTGGTACTTGGTCCTTAATGATTTAGAGCAAGCAACAATCTCTATCACGCAGGCCTAAACAGCCCTCTTAAATTAGACAATAACTAATTGGGAGGAGACATGCACTGTAGCAGCTTGACATGCCACCAGATGAACAACGCTATTCGATTGAAATATTATAGAATTGAATTGAATCCACAAATTTATAAAAAAGACACAAATCACCACTAATCCGCGTAAAATGTATAACTTATTAGCACTAAACTAATGTATGGAGATGGACGATCACATCTCATACATCTTTCATTCAAATATGGCCAGCTCCATAAATGGGTCATTACTCATTAGATAGAGAAAGCAAGTCTTATCTTTGATTTTTCTCCTCCCAAAAGAAGGGAAGAAGTATGAGTCAACAATCAACTTTGCCAAAATAGACCACCTCTAAGAAAGGGAGTAGTTTGAAATTTGATTCTTCAATCTTCTTGCTTTGCTTCCTTTCCTTGTTTCCTAGTAGAGCACCAGAAATTTCCTCAACTTCTTAGTAGTCTACAATTCGAGTTATTAGATTTCCATCAATCTTCACCGTTTAATACAATTGATAATAATGATTCGATATCGAAATCTCTTATCATATAAAGATTTGATCGGAAGAATATCATATCATCCTATAAGTTAAGATGTACAAAGATTCAATAATTATATATTATAAAAAACTTGGAATAAGGTTTGCAAATTGCTTGTCAAAAGAGCTATCACTCCCCCCCACTAATTTCTGTTCTTCTTTCTCTCTTAAAATAAAGAAGGGCAAACCATTATTGGTGGCTTATTGACAATTGTTGTCATTTTCAAAAGGAGCTTATACAGTTGGCCCTGTTCTTTGCATCCAATGCCTTTCAGTTAATTTAGTTACCAAACACGTTCTAGGAAAGGCAAAACAATTCAATGTCCTTGTCTTCATAACCTACCAAAAAGGCTAGGTAATGGAAAGAGACATTGCAAACTAAGATGAGGAAGGTTTCTAAAAATTTATAAATGGGGTATCACAAATCAAAATAGGAACAACAACATCAACAAGCCGCCTTCAGGAAAGCTCCCTTCCTATATAACAACCTATGTGTGGCAAAATACACTGAGAGGAACATCATGAGCCAAACAAAAAGGAAAAGAAAATAAGAAACTAATACAAAGAAACTAAGAGGTAAGAAGGGTAACAGAACATCTCAACTCATTCTCTCACTATTGCAAAAGAAACAAAGGGCATATATCCTCAAGTTAATCTTACCCTAGTGCAATGTTCAAACATTACCATGTGCTATATCGTACTACCCTTATCTCACGCCGTCTTCTCCTCTCCTGTGTCGCCATCGGTTGCTCCATTGCTAGGCGAGACGGGTCTGGGATCTGATGTATGTACACCATCCTTTGTGGGGAAGGAAGCCGGTTTAATGAGTCTCAAGGAACTCTCATCCTTGTCGAACTCGTCGTTGGTGTCATCTGAGTAAGAGTACCTACTCCGAGGAGAAAAAGGAGAAAGTTATGTTTAAGCTGCTTTGGAGTGCTTTGGAGTAGGTTTAGTTGCCGAACAAGCTAGATGGTTTAGTTGCCTCGTTGCAGATTCTCTTCAGGGTTAAGGTTCATGCCTTCATGGTGCTGGCAAATGCAAATGCTCAAACTCCATGAAATCTAGTTGTCAGTATTTTTTAGGAGAAATGACTTACCGCATGGAGTTTTGTGAGGGAGCCCAAAGAACACAGATGACACATAGGAGAGAGAAGGAGAGGAATTGCCAGAAAGCTGGAATCACCCATGCGTTCTGCCAGTGCTCGTTGTAAACATCGTGAGATTTGAAGTACAACTGCAAGTGGCAAACTAATATAGTAAGGAGAGACATACTTTGACATTCCATTTCACGTGATAAATTCACTATAAATGGTCTCCACACTGAATTTGCCTGCATCTTTAATTAAGCAAGAACAGTTACCTCGTAGCAAATCCAACCAACTGAAACAACAACTGCTACAGCCAAAGCATTCGTGAATTTCCGATATATATCAAGCTTGACCATCATTCTTCTTGCCTGCACATATCCAATAAGCAGTATGGGAAAGTGACTTGAATATCCAGAGGACAAATAAAGAAATCAGTCTGTAATTCCAATCTTCAGCAACTAGTCCATTAAAAACAAGTTCAATGAAGGAATCAATCAACACTGTAGTCAGGGTACCTGAAGTTTATTCAACGTGGCAGAAAGTGATTTGAATACCCAGAGGATGAAGAAAGCATCCAAGAGTGCAACTGGAAGAACCAAGAACAGTATGGCCTTGCCTGAAAAATCACTCACCGCACCAACATTCTCCACCAACTCAAGCACTTCAGAAGTCAAGAAAAATGTCCCTCCTAGCATTAGCACCTTCGATGTGAGCCCTCCCAATGTTGGCCTCACCACCCCATACCCCATTGAAACAATCAGTATCACTAGACGTGCCACCGTGCGCTTCACAGTGCCAAATGTAACTGCCCACACAGTGGTCCCAGTCGGTCGAATCCCAGTCTCGTTGAACTCCGCATAGTCGAAATACCACAATGCCATCTCCAACATCCCTAAGGTAATCACCAGAGTAATGCAGTTTTGCAATGGGAAAACTTCCTTCCAAAACCGAGCATACTGTGAGAACCAGAAGATCCCGAGTATAACAAATGCAATGGACATGAATGCATAGAAGTTCATTAGTGGAGCCATTCTTCCCGGGAGATACCCTGTAGGGTTCTTCCATATAGTTTTCCCTTCTTCTACTACCACGTCTTTTAGATTTGGGTCGCAGATCACGAAGTATAGGTTGTACATGCCGGTTTTGGTGATCTCAATCGACCTCGATGGTAGCGTCGCCGCGTCTTTGTCATGATTGAAGGAGTCGGTGAGTACATAGGGGAAGCCTGGATCTGTTGTTGAAGGACGATGGATGATCTCTCCTTGAGTGCAGGCATCGAGTTTTGCAAGATCGGGAGTACAGCAGATTGCTCTCTGGCCCCCATAGGCTGAACCACCGATCAGCTCTCTGTCTTCTACTTCGAATATGATAGCATGTACTAGTCCTGAAGTGAAGTTATGCACGTCCTTGGGTCTTCGGAATGTGACCTTTTCGAAGCTGATAATAGATCACCACCAATGTAAGTTAGTCAACGCCAGCCATGGTTAAGTTAGTCAATGCGAGCCAAGGAAAACCAATGTACTTATCAGAATGCAACCACCTAGCTTGCAAGGAAAACCAAAGAAGCAAGCAGGTAATATGTCTATTAATGCTTGTACCTAGCATTTGTGTAGCTCTACAAAACATTACAACCCAGATGACATAGAACTCCATTGATGCATGCGAGACCTTATTCCAGATGATATGGAAGCCATTGGAAGAGAACTAAAGGTTCAAAACTATTCCTTCTACAACCTAAAATTGCATTCTTTCACTGCAATTTAGCATCAATGACCTTAATTTTTCAGATTCTCCACTTACAATTTGATCTTCAAAAACTAGCCCATTGATATGAACAAACCATGCCCACAAAAACACAAGCCGAGATACAAACTGTCAATCCTGCTAAACTTCGAGCACGTCCTACAATCATTCTTTCACCACTAACTAATCTTTCTCCTCAGCTCTCACTTAATTCCTGCAACTAAAACGAAGAGAACCCGCACCAAAAAAAAACTGTGAAACAAGAGAGAAAAGAGTAATTACCGAATGAAGGCATCTCCATTAGCGGCCTTGTCGTTGAGATTGGAAGAAGGGCGGGAGAAATAAATCCCTTCACTGCCGCCATGAACGACTAAGGCATTCCCTCTCCCCACGAATTTCTCCCCCTTATACTCGTGGACCGAACCCTCAACCAGAAAACCCGCGACGGAAAACAGAACACTGAAAAGGAACAAACTTGACATTGATCTGAGCAGTAGCCTAAACATTTTTGCTGACAAGGGAAACGTAGCGAATATCTGGATCTAACCAGACCCAGTTGAGATCTCGCTTTGTTGGAAATGCCGAGGCTGCAGTGGAAGAAGAAGAAGAAGAAGAAAGGTGTGGACTTTAGAAGTGAGGGTCAGTAATTAACCACTGGGCTCCGATTTCAGTGACTTGAGAGTTGTTACTGTTAGTACTTAGCAGTTAGCACGCGCCACGCAGTCATTTAGGGGTTTGGAGAAGAGAGCTGGGGAGTGATGTGAGCCGTTAGATTTGTTGACTTCTGATGAGGTCTAGATGGACGGCTGTGGATGGTACAGGATTTGGGGAATGATATGGCAAAAAAAGGTTGTCGGTTCGCTGTCCGGCTAGCTGTCAGCTGTCACCGATCGTAAGTAAAAGAAGGCACGGTGACGTTCACATCTAATAAATAGTTGTTTAGTATTTATGGAGTTTTAATCGATTTTGACAGAGAAAGAGAACTGACAGAAGGAAGAGAGCAAAAGAGAAAGAACTTCTGGCAGATAGATGGGTTTATGGTATCACAATCACTCAAAGAAGACAAAAGTAATAGCTAAGGCAAGAACTGTAATTTCGGTCTGAAGAGAAGATTATCATGTGCTTAATAAATGAGGTCGCCGATAATCGAACACAAAACTTCTCAATTACAGAAGGCTCTGATACCATATCAAGAACCAGTTGCTCCCAATAACTCGAGTTGTTGGGAGAGGTTCAATCGTGTATCATATACCACAACACTAACAACCAATTCGAGGTTTCTAAGTGCGTTGGATTGTTTGGACCAAATTCACTACTACCATTTTTGGGAGAGGTGAAGTACCATCTACCACAAGCCTGGTCATGCCATCTTTATATCTTTGCTCTGTTTAGATGAGTGAGTTTTGGTCCACTTTTTACTCAGAGCCAGCCCATGCTTTAGGCCCAACAAAATAAGGGGCAGAAGAAAGCAGAATGAAACTGAAATGTGAAGAACAAAGCACTTGGATCAAATTTTAGGATACAAGGTTCTGAACAAATGTTACAATCGAAACTACCTTAAGACGATGATAAGACAAAAAGAAGGGAAGAGAAGAGATGCAGAAAGGACTGATCTAACAAATACGACCACCACACCTACATTCAAAACCATCCATGGACCGCTATAAAATACGTGCAGACCATATTAGCTGGTTCTCGGACTTGTTTTTTTTTTCGTGCAACCTTTCATGCTAACTGCTGCTGCTGCTGCTGCTGCTAATCCAGATCGAGAAACTCCATTCTCTTTCTCATTGTGCCCTTCAGATCCGATGCTTCCCTTTCTGCTTTCTGGGCCTGCCAGACATTTATGAAAACCGCAACTTTAATAGGGGGCTGTTTAAGTTCAGGACAATGCGAGTAACACTCGTAATAGATGCTGCTCTCTAAGTTCTCAGCAACAACTGACATAACACCATCACCCAAGTCTTCGGTAAGCTGAACACGCACATGTAAGACTTAGATAAGTCAAATTCTGAAGTGCCACATTAGTAAACCTCTTTTTCCCACAACAAATGATATCCGTACATGTACGGGATAGCTTGTGCTAGTTCCTTGATTATGGTATTAAAGTCACACCCTCTCGCTCTGGATTCCTATAACCTAAATTGTTAGAGTTCTGAACAGAGTCGCAAGGGCATAGAGTCACTAAACCAAAAATGGTGATTCTCTACAGCATAGGAGACAGACATCTAGATTCGAGATGGTAGTCACCTATTCAACGAAACTCAAGCTAGAGCCTATCTACATCACCAAACCTAAGCATAATAGAAGCAAGTAGATACAGAGGAAGAGGAACAAATACTCACCCTCCTAATTTCTGCTGCTGAAACACAAGTCATGTGTGGAGGAAGCTCCTCCCTTTCCAAATCCTAGTGTAAGGATGAAAATCATTAGACAAGGTACTGAAGAAACGAAAGTAGCCGAGAGAAGATCAAATGAGAAAAACATACCAGCTCTCCAATTAAAACAACATTCTCGCCCCGAATTACATAGAGACCTAATGGAATGTCACAGTAAAGTTCCCCAACAATTACTCTTTCGCATGCCCCCTCAAGAACAGCATTTGCTGTAGATATGACCATTCAACTCATGAGAAACTCACAACAAGAGTTAGTTTGTTTAAACAATACCAGTCACGAGAAGAGTAAGAACCTACCGAATTGATCAAAAGAGCGAAGTATTCCCATAAGTTTACGGCCATCTCGCAGAAGCACGAGAAGCTTTTCTGGAACCACAAACAAGCCAATACGAGACTGTAAACAACTAGACACTAGACAGAACACATAAAAAAACCTGAATTTCCATGGAATGTACAAATGATCATCATTGACTCTTGAAGATAAGATAAGATACCAAGTTTAACAGACTGTCTCAAGATGTTGACCAGTTACAAGCATTCATATGTCAATTCAACAGTAGAGACTTAACAATCAAATAATGCAACAGAAACAAAGTCACCAGAAGACAATATTGAAGCATACGAGTCTCCATTTCATGAAACAGAAGTAGATTAAAAATCTAGTGTGGAGTGCGAGCTTACTATCAAGATAACTGGCGAGAGAAGTAGAGAGGTAGATATCTTCTGGCCCTGCCCACGACATTGATATAGCTAAAGCTTCAGACTTTTCGGCACGGCAAAAAATAACACACCGAAAAATTCGTTGAATGCCAATTCAGAAGGTATAGCATTGGCTGCTCCCAATCCCCGGCCTTTTTATTCCCACCAAAACCGTTCCCGCCTTCCTTCTCCAATCCGAATACTTCAACAGAGGAAATCAATGGCGTGCAAAGAGAACACCAAACAATTCCCTCGAACCCCAGCAAAAAGTCAAGTCAAACGCAGAGCTGCCTCAAGTCGCCAACTAAAACCAGACCCCCTGAACCCCACTAATTTCAGATAGCAACCCTAAATTGAAAAGATAAATAATAGTTGCAGGGATCTGGAGAGACCCAAAGGAAAGGCTAAAAGACGCGAACTTTCCGTCTCCGACGGACCGAAGGAACTGAGCGGGCAGTCGGTAAAAACAAGACGGAACCCAGATCCAATCGAGCCGGAGGAAGTAGATGGGCAGAGGGAGGAGAGTGGAGGCGTCGCTACCGGAATCTTTGAGGGATGTGGAGATTTGAGGGATTAGGGTTCCCAAGGGGGAATTAATGCATGGCGGAAATCTGGCAAACGGCCGATGGGTGAAGAATTGGGGGGAATTAAAGGCCTTTGGGGAGCAGCAGTTGGCCTGGTTTGATATTGCTTTGCTTGTTTCAGGCTTTCAGCTAGTAGGGTTGTTTGAATGATTACCGTGGTAATAACCAAACCAATTAAGTTTAAGTTTTATTAATTATTAAATAAAATATCTTAACCAAACCATCCAAATTAACACGAAAACCAAATTAATCAAACCAAAGTTTAATTGGTTTGGTTAATCGGATTAACCAAATGACATAACATTACATAAAAACAAGGGCAATGTCTATTTTTACCCAAATCTTTTCAAACTTCTTTTATTTTACCCAAACCTATCAAAATTCTATTTATTATCCAAACTTATTGTAACTGATCAAAGTCTGGGCATTCGTTCTGTTACCGTTACTTATTTCGTAACGAACCTCCACGTCAGCGTTCACGTCAAAAATGAATACATATTCAATTTCAATATTAATTTAGAAAAAAAAAACACAACTCGTCCGACCAACTCCCTAAGCTTCTTCTTCCTCAGTTCTCCGCAACCATTGCTGGTGAAACCAGGAGCTCGCCCCTTCCTTCTCCAGAGGTTTGTCAAGCTATCAGGTACTGCTTTGAACAAGATAGACTCCCTAGACCTATTAATGAAACTGTTTTAGCTTTGATTCCAAAAGTTGCTAACCCTGATGAAATGAAAAGCTTTAGGCCAATCTCTTGTTGCAATATCCTCTATAAATGCATATCAAAACTTATAGCAAACAGATTCAGTCCTCTCCTCCCCTCACTGATTAGCAAAAACCAGACTGCTTTTGTGAAAGGAAGATTGATTGGTGAGAATATTTTGCTAGCTCATGAGTTAGTTAGCAAATATTCTCATCAGAACATATCCCCTAGATGTGCTATTAAAATCGACTTAATGAAGGCTTTTGACTCAGTGGACTGGAGGTTTATTTTTCAAGTATTGAGGTGTATGAATGTCCCTGAAAGATTTGTGAATTGGATTCAGATGTGTGTAGGGACTCCCATGCTTAGTGTTTGCTTTAATGGGGGTTTAGTTGGTTACTTCCCAGCTAAGAAGGGGTTTAAGCAGGGAGATCCTTTATCTCCATATCTATTTTCCATAGCTATGGAAGTTTTTTCTTGCCTTCTGGATAAGTCTGCTGCTGAAAGAAGGTTCCCTTTTCATCCTATGTGTAAGGGAGTGGCTTTAACACATCTGTGTTTTGCTGACGATTTATTGGTTTTCTCGGATGCTTCAAACTCTGGTATTCATGAACTGCAGACTGTGCTGGCTAAGTTTAAACAACTGTCAGGTCTAAAGTCAAATCCTAGTAAGTGTGAGATATTTTTTGGGGGGATTGATAAAGAGGAAAGCAAGGTTAGAGCTGAGAGGTTTGGTTATCAGTTGGGATCTTTCCCTGTTCGTTATCTGGGGGTTCCTCTTATCTCGGGGAAACTTAGTTTAGCAGCCTGTAGGCCAATGATTGATAAAATGTTGGCTAGGGTGAGAAGCTGGCAGGCAAAATCCCTCACCTATGCAGGACGTGTTGAGTTGGTTGGTTCTGTACTCTATAGCTTGACACAGTTTTGGATGTCTGTCTTCCTCCTTCCAAAATCTGTTATCAGAGCAGTGGAGAAGATATGTAGTGATTTTGTGTGGGGTGTGGAAGCAGGGGTGAAATTGAGAGCAAATGTGGCCTGGAAATACCTTACCTTCCCTAAAAAGGAAGGAGGCTTGGGTTTTAGGGAACTCACTAGTTGGAACCAGGCTTGTATGACACGCCATATTTGGTTGATATTGATGCAGGAGGGCTCTATCTGGGTAGCATGGGTTAATAGATACAAGCTGAAAGGGAGAAACTTCTGGACATATACTTGCTCTTCTAGTTCATGGAATTGGAAAAAGCTGTTAAAACTGAGGTTTAAGGTGGGTGCTTTCATCTCATTTAGAGGGGAGGAAATTCTGATGGACAATTCTCCTATGCCAAAGTTTTCCATAAAACGAGTCTGGAATTTGCTTAGACCTGTTGGAAGTGATGTTATCTGGTGGAAGATTCTTTGGAAAGGAAAGGGGATTCCTAAAATAGAATCCTCACTTGGCTGGTTTTGAGAAATAGCATTTATACAAAAGCCAAAATGCAAGGCTGGGGGTATGCAGGAGATATGAAGTGATGTCTTTGTGATTATGAGTTGGAGGACAGAGATCATCTATTTGCTCACTGTAGAATTTCCAGGCAGGTGCATGTCTCTCTGTTTGGAAGGGTGCTGTACATTCCTCAGGTGCAGAGCTGGACTGAGGAGGTGACTTGGGCTATTTTGAAGTTCAAGCCACAAACTGAGCTGGCAGAGGTAGGCAGGGTTGTTTGGCAGAGTTGGGTTAGCAACATTTGGCGAGAGAGGTGTCGTCGATTGTATGCTGGTAAAGCACTCGATGCTAATGTGCTGCTGAAGTTAATCAAGAGTGAAGTGGAATGTTTCTTTGGAAGCCATAGGGTTGCTCAATTTTGGGGGTAGGTTTGTCTCAGAGGTCTAGTCTATTTTTTCGTGTCCTTGTACTTAGTGCATATATTTTGAAACTCCACCTAGCTAGCAAGGTTGTTGCTAGCACTTCTTTTTTGATGAAATGAAATCCATCGATTCATCAAAAAAAAAAAAAAAAAATTCGCAACCCCCAATCTTGCCACAAAACCGTTACGATTATTCCTTGAACATGGATCTGAGTCGACTCGGCCTAGACTGGAACACCTCGTGTAGGATCAACGCCGCTATCGCACAGACCTCATTCCTTTCCCAGCCAGTCAAATTTCCCCAAATTCATAATTTCAATTCCTTCCCCCAACCCTAATTCCAATTAAAATCCCTAATCCTAGAGTTAGGGAGGCAGAGTGGGGAAGAGTGAGAGAGATCTAGATACATACCTTCTTCTTCTCCTCTCCGAGGTCCTTCGCACCAGACCCACCAACGCCGGCGGCGCCTTGGTCACCTGTGTCGTCATTTTGGACTTCTGGTCCTACCTCCGCTTCCTCAATTGAATGTCAGAGGCGCTCAAGATGCCGAAGCCGGAGAGCAAGATGCGGCGGGGTGAAATTTCAGGTTGAGGGCGATGCTTGTTATACCGGTTTGGGAGGAGTTGGTCGATGATGGCTCCGCAAACCTTAAAATTGAAGATGGGCGAACTAGTTCCTGCCTCCCTGGACTCGCGAACTAGCGGCAGGGGTATGAGCACTTGAATCATAGAGATTCCTCGCCGGCTAGAGAGGAGATGGGTCTCTACGGCGCCGGCGAGATCGACCGATGAAGCTGCCCGTCGTTCTTCTTCCTCCTTGGCTCAGAGGCAAGGCAGCGATGCCCCTTGTGTTCTCCTTCACGTTTGGGCTCGGCGGCAGCAGGAGGAGGGGAGGGTGTTGTGGACGACGACTCACTTTATTAATTTTTGTTTCTATTATTTTTTAATTAAAATATAAAATGATATGTTGACCGCCATGTCAGAAGCCAACTCAGATTCATGATGTTGAGTCAGCAATATTAACAGAAAAGTTGACGATGAGTTAACGTTTTGGTTAATTCATAGTATTTTGATAGGTTTGGGTATAATAAAAGAAGTTTGGAAAGGTTTGGGTAAAAAATAGACATTGCCCTAAAAACAATTTTCATGTTAATGAATAAAACAGAACCATATGTTATTACTATCATAAACTATCATTATATATAAACAATAATAATAAGACTAATCATCAATGATTATCATCATCATTCGAGTTAATACATCATTCATCATCTCTGCACCTAATATAGTTAGCGTACAACAAACCCTTAACATAAATATTAAATACATACCAATACTACTCATCATGAAGTTAAAGCTCTCATACAAAACACTACATAGTTTGAGGTGGTTGTCATGGCACTCTACGTAATCCTAAAGTCTAGTAGTTGTCCAAAATGTTTTAATTTAATAAATAGGGGTTAATTGCATGGTTGGTCACTGAGATTACAAAAAACGTTCAAATTTGGTCACTCAAAATATTTAAATCCATTGGTGGTACTTAAGTTTACTGAAACGGTTCACGTTTGGTCACTCTTCGTCCAACTCCGTTAACTTTTGCTGATGTGGCAGTCAACTCTCAAAGTTGACCGTTAACTTAGTGACGTGACAACTAAAAAATTATTAAAAATAAAAAAATAAACATTTATATTTTCCACCTCATTATTCCATTCATTTAAAAAATAAAAAAATACAACGGGTTTCGTTGCCTCGTTGGCGCTGATTTCCGGAGGATCCTTCCTTACCCGACCCGGCGACTGATTCGTCCTCTTCACCGACCCGTTCCGGTTACCCGCACCCGAACCCGCCGCCGCAGTAAATCTGTGGGTAGCGGCGATCTCGATATCCTCGCTGAGTTGTGGCCAATGTCCCTCCTGCTCAGGTCGGGTTTCAACGATTTTCTTGCACCCGGATTAGGACCCGTCTCCGTGCTCTGCCGAACCATCATCCTCACCTGCCCACCGCCGCCGGGGGCGGAGTAATTCATCTTCACCGGGGACCGGTCAGATCGCCGAGTGGGCAACCTCCCCACTACCCGTCGAAAACGTCCGATTCGTCCTCGTCGCGCGCGGACATCTTCCCAGCTGAGAAATATCTCCTGCCCGCCTTCAGCTGCTTGATTTCCTCATCGTTGGCCGTCAGCAAGTCCGTGCTCATGTTGTTGTCGTTCCGGTATCTGGTCACCGCGAGGCTCATGACCACTGCGGCCACCGTCGAGTGAAAGCCGGCCAAGATCAAGTCGATCCCGATCGACTTGCGGAACTCCTTGTCCATTGTTAGTTTAAAAAAAGAATCGAAGAGGAGGCATATGACAGATCTGGACATTCATTTTAATATGGCTCTGGGTTTGGAATCTAATGACAGGAAAAATGTATCAAGCTAGATAGAGTAGTTGGCTTTGGGCTTCTCTGAGAACCAAGGGGTCATAACAGAGATAAAGCTTGGCGTCCATGTTCTCCTTCATCAGCATCTGGTTGATGTACTTGGAGATTGGGTCGGATGTGTCGGAGCTGCTCCGCTGCTTCGGGACTCCAGCCGGACGTCGCCGATTGGGAA